AATATATCCTAAGAAACTAGAAACACCAATCGGAAAGGATATATACACCCCTATGTTCATAGCAGCACAATTCACCATAGCTAAGATTTGGAAACAATGTAGGTGCCCATCAGCAGATGACTTTATCAGTAAACTATGGTACATCTACACAATGGAATACTAAGCTGCCATAAAAAAGAAGGAATTCTTACCATTTGTAGCAACCTGGATGGAACTGTAAAACATGCTAAGTGAAATAAGCCAGTCAATGAAATAAAAATACCACATGATCTCACTTATTTGTGGGTAATAAAGAACATTATAAACTGATGAACAAAAATATAGATACAGAGGCAGTAAAGCATCAAACAGACTGTCAAATTACAGCAGGAAGGTTAGGGAGAGATGGAGAGGTAAGAGATCAACCAAAGGACTTGTATGTATGAATATAAGCATAATTGATGGATGCAAAACACTGTGGGGGTGAGGGCATATATGGGAGTGGGATGGGGAGGGAAATGGTAAAATATGTACACATATAATACTTTAATAAAAAAATGGAAAAAGAAACCAAAAAAACACCTAGGGTGTGGGCCCAGGTGGAGTCGCTACAGGTGAGGGATTCACCTACTCAGCAGATACTGCAGGAAAGCCGGACAGCAGCTGGATGGCTTGGCTTCCTATCCCTATGGGGCACACTAAGATTTAATCATGAAATTCCAGCAAAGGTAGTAAGTTACCTTTCCTGAGTTTATGCCAACATTTGGTCCAAATTGAATACAATAGATAAATTGATCTTGATATGGCCCTTTTAATAAGCATAGAGGTAATTTTGAGGAGAAAAATTCTATTTCAATAGAGGTTATTAAAACTGAAAGGATTTCTTTCCCTTCCACCAGCCCATTTATTACAGTTTGTCTCCGCCAAGTCACAGGCCCACCTCCTTCTGTGCCCACACCTCATTGTCCCTCTGACAGACAGCAAGGACTTTTGGCTCTGAGAGAAACCTCTGACTTGCCTCAGCAGGAAGTAGCTAGAAGAGCCCACCGGCATCCATTTTCCCTAACAGAATTTAGAGCCAGGAGCCTTGAGGTAATATATTAGACAGACAGATATAAGCAGAACAAGAATGATGGGCCAGCTAGCACTACCAGATGTAATTAAGTCTTTCCATCTCTACCTATGTGAGACAAGGGGACTCCCCAGAAGCAAGAGGGAGTGAGGCTGCAGATGAAGCAGCCTAGTAGGCTGCCCTAAAACCAATGGGGCTTTTTCAGATTCTAGTGAATTTTTCAAACCCTGACCTACCCACCTCACCAACTAACATGGAAACCTAACCTAGAAAACCTGAAATCCATAACCAATCTTTACTCAAGTTCTTACAGGCTTTACAGTCCAGCAAGAAAGCTGATCCGGTCCATCTTTCCACCCTGGTGACTCTGTTTAGGTAAAGAAATTTTCCACACAAGGACTGACTCCTACCTGGAAAGGTCCACCCCACAGCAGTCAAGGTTGACACGATCCCCATGTGGCTTCATCATTCCTGGCTTAAGACAGTCCAGGCAAAATAGAGAGTCCAGGATTTTTTGGATCCTCTAATGATTAGTCCTGGCCCTCATTCCAGGCCCTTATCTTATAAACAGGCCCACTGACTTTATTCAGCTGAGAATTAATTCTATCAAGTTTATAGTTCTCCTGGGTCAATATAACTCCCTTGCTAACAATGATCCAAAAGTGTCAATGATTTGACTCATTTACATAAAACCAGTGGGGAATGTTAGAGAGTGGAAATCTTTTAAAAATATATATTTTATTGATTTTTTTTTTTACAGAGAGGAAGTGAGAGGGACACAGAGTTAAAAACATTGATGAGAGAGAAACATTGATCAGCTGTCTCCTGCATACTCCCTACTGAGGATGTGCCTGCAACCACATGCCCTTGACTGGAATTGAACCTGGGACCCTTCAGTCTGCAGGCCGACACTCTATCCACTGAGCCAAACCAGTTAGGGAGAAAGTGGGAATTTTGAGCACTACTGAGACGGTGGAGTATGCCCCAGATAGAGTTTTCAGTGCTGACACCAGGCCAGGCCTTGAGATATGGTCTCATGGCCCCTTCCCAGCACTTAGGCCTTCTTTTATGGAACAGTGTCAGCTTTCTGATGAACAGGATGACCCTTTAAATAACATGGTCGTCAATGGCATGACCCTGACATTGCTTTGGAAAAACTGTTTACTTACTCTGCAAAAACAAGATGTGGTAAATGGTTTTAAAAGCCGTCTTGCACAAAGGGTCAGGGCTTCTCTCTGGACTACCTGCATAGAGAATGGCAGAGCAGTCTCCAGCTGGCTAATAAAGGCTCCCTAAATAAAAAAAAAAATAAAATAAAGCAAGTCTTAAATTTCAAAGGATTAAAATCATACAGAGTATATTATCTGACATCAGTAGAATTGAGCTAGAAACCGGTAACAAAAATATAACAGAAAATTGCTATTTGAAAATCATGTAATACACCCCAAATAACCCTGAGTTCAAAGGAGAAATAAGTGTACAGCGTAGGGAATATAGTCAATAATATTGTAATTAGTATATATTGTGCCAGCTATGATGATCCACAGGTGAACTCTAGGTAACTATGCTTAAATATAACCACTAGAATTTTTTTTTTAAACTGAGAAAAGATTCCAGTTGTCACACACTGCAGGGTAAATAGACACCACATAATTAGTCTAAGCACATCAATAAAATCCTATTTAATAAAGAAGGAATATGCAAATTGAACATCACACCATTACAAAGATGGAGGTGCCCAGAGTGTAGGTGGGGTTTCCGTAACAAGCATTAAGGAGCAATCAGCAGGGACCTGAGCCTGTGCCCCCCACCCAGTGGGGCTTTACAAGGGACATTGGGCCACGCCCTCAACCCAGCAGGGCTTGACTGGGACTTCAAGGTGCACCCCTTGCTCTGATGCCAGGCCAGGGGACCCTCAAGCTGTGCCTTCCACCCTGACATCAGGCCAAGGGACTTGAGGGTGCACTGGGTGACCTGAGGCTGCATTCCCTGCCTGGTGCCAGGCTATGGGATCAAAGGCTGCACCCTCTGCCCAGCAGGGCTTGACAGGGGACCTGAGACTGCTCCTCCCCCCCCCCCACCTTGCAGGGCTTGTCAGGAGCACTGAAGCTGTGCCCCTCACCCAGTGGGGCTTGACAGAAACCTGAGGCTGCTTCCCCCTGGCACCAGGCCAGGGGACCTGAGGCTGCTCCCCATGCCCGGTGGGGTTTGATGTGGGTGGGGCCGACTGGGTCTGGGTCTTGTGTAATTTTGAGGAGCTGCGGGTGGGTAGGGACTTGACTCTAGGTCCCATGGTGCTCCCCAGACTGAAGGAGAAAAATTTTCATATACATTTTATTTTCTTTCATCTCTGACACTTCTAGTATAGAGAAAGGGAAAATAGCAATATTAAAATATTTTCTCTAATTAATCCTCTTTTAATGTGTACAAATTTCATGCACCAGGCCACTAGTAAATAATAAATATTTAAAAACAAAGAAAAAAGACATAGCCCATAGAGAGGAAAAACCAGCTTATATGCATTGTTTCTGAGAGGGCCTTGATATAGATGTAGTACATAAATATTTCAAATAAGCTATTATAAATATGTTTGAATAACTAAAGGACACCATGTTTAAAGAAGGTGGGGTGAGTGGGGAAAGGTCAATAGGGAGAAAAAGGAAGCATATGTAAAACTTTCAACAATAAAGTATTAAAAAAATAATTAAAGGAATGTATGATGACAATGACTCATCACATAGAGAATATTAATAATGAGATACAAATTATAGAAATAAATGAAAATTTGGTATTTAAAGGTATAACAAACAAAAAATACTCAACAGGTTTAACAGTAAAAAAGAATGAAGAAACCTGAATACCCTCAAAGGCCTGTTAGACACCATCAGATACACCAGATATGTATAATGGGAGTTCCAGAAGAGGAGGGGAGGGGATGACATAATTATTTGAAGAAATAATGGGTAAAATTTCTCAAATTTGATGAAAAACTTTAATTTACACATCCAAGAAGCTCAAAGAATTCCAAGTAGAACAAAGACAAATATATTCACAGTTAGATAGATATTAATCAAACTGTTCAAAGCCAAAGAGAAAAACTTGAAAACAGCAGGAAAAAATTACCTATCATATGCAAAGGAACCACAATAATATTAACAGCTGCCTAGTTATCAGAAATAATGGAGACAAATGTAAGCAGCCAGGTGCCCATCAACAGAGGAGTGGATTAAAAAAACAACAACAACTTGTGGTACATATGTACAGTGGAATATTACTTGGCCATAAAAAGGAATAGAATCTTACCATTTGAAACAACATAGTTGAACCTAGAGGACATTCTGATAAATAAAATAAGCTAGTCAGAGAGAGACAAATACCATATGATTTCACTTATATTTAGAAACTACATAACAATATAAATAAACAAAAAACAGAAACAGACTCATAGATACAGAAAACAGGCTGATGGTTGCTAGAGGGGAGGGGGGTTGGGGACTGGGCAAAAAAAGGTGAAGGGATTAAGAAGTACAAATTGATAGATGCAAAATAATCACAAGGATGTAAAGCATAGCCTAGGGAATATAATCAATAATATTGCAATAACTATGTACTGCCCACATGCCCAGATTGCAGGCTCAGTCCTCAATGAGGGTGTGCAGGAAGCAGCCAATTGATTATTCTCTTTCATTCTCGAACTCTCTGAAAACAACAAAAATATATTTTAAAATGTTTTTAAAGAAGGAAAGGAGCAATGGAGAAAAGAAGGCAGTGTTATGACATGTGCAAGGTGCTGGGTCGGGGGACTGCAGCCAAGAATTCTAGAATTCAGTTCACCATGGTAACAGCACATACCAACACTTTCTTCTGCCCAGCTGTGGGTGACTCTTCAGGTCTTCTGCTCTAAGACGTGCTGATGAGAAGGGCGTGGAGAGGTCTCTGATTTGACACAATGGGTGACAACTATGAAGGTATGAGCATTGAACAACTAAAACTGGAGTTATTGGAAGAAGTCCATAAGAAAGACTTAGTAAAACTCTCAATAAATGAACTAACATACAAGATAGCAGAACAGAAAGCCAACTTCATTAAAAACAATGAATGGAAAATTCGTTATGAGATACAACTTGAAATGAATGATCATCTGAAAGAGCAAATAGTTACTCTGAAAGAGAAACTGGGAAAACTCAGTGCAGAGCCTTCAGATATACAAGGTACTATTCAGGTCTACAAGCAATTGCCAATGAAATATTTAGTGACATTACTTAGAAAGCTACTCCAAGAGAAAAGGCGTCTTGAAAATCAAGTGAAATACTATTCACGTAAAGTGGAACAAGAATCGAGGGCTTGCAGAAAGATAAAAAATGAACGCCAAAAACTCCTCGATGACCTATTTCAGGCCTTTCGCTTATATGAAATGTCTAAAAGACAACATATGGATGAATTTCATAGAATAAGAGAGTTTCCAATGGAAATTAGAAGGTACAATACAGTTAATCAGAAGATAGAAAATGCCAAGAAAGGATCAGGAAAAAAGAGGGGAAGATCAAACCTTCTTCCAAAAATCAAGCCATGATCCAAGAATTGGATAGGTTTCTATTTCTTCCTTTTTTCATTTGTTATATTCACCCTGTGAAGTTAATATTAAAAACGTTTTTTTTCAGGGAGTGAAATAGATAAGAAAGAGCTATTAAACCTCTTTTGCTCATTTTTCAAAAGTTTGTTCCTTCATCTGTGTGAAAGTAATTTTCATAATTTGGTTTAGTTTCAAAAATTATTTTAGAAAGTAATTTTGATGACCCTAAAATTATAATAGCAGTGTTTGTCATTCTTAAAATATCCTAAGAAACCCGAGTGAGGTTACATTTAAAATTAACCCAATCATTGCAATAGTGTATTAGTAGCACATCCTATCATGGGGACTCCATCATTTTTAAGTGTTAGCTCTACAGGAGCTACTTTGGAATACTTTTAAGATGTTGGAAAATGTCTGTGTTAGAGTGATGGCATGCATGTTGATGGGGTGCTATAAAGAACTGAAATGGGAGACACTAAGATCTCTGTTCTGTTATCAGTTTTGCCACTTCTAAACTTCTGACTTTAAGTAAATAATTTGCTTTGAATCATTTTCATCATTCATACAGTTGGAAATATTTACCTAACTAGTTCCTTGAGATTGCTGTGCAGATCAAGGAAGGATACTTACTAAATATTTATTTACTTGGTTATACTAGTGACAAAGTTATATCTAGTTCTAAGCTCTGAAGATAATTTGTCACGTTAGGTTTTGTAAGAAAACTAGAGGCCTAGTGCATGGATTTGTGCATAGGGTGGGAGGATCCCCTCAGCCTGGCCTGTGCGCTCTCACAATCTGGGACCACTCGGGGGATATAGCAGTGCACCAAGCCTCAGGGAGGAGCCCAAGCGGAGGTCAGGCACCACACTGCTCCTGCTCATCCTAGCCCACTGCACCTGCCACCACTCTGTAGTACTGTGGCAGAGCCAGGAGAGGCTCTCGCCACCACAACTGTGCTCACCAGCTGTGAACCAGCTGAGTGGCACTCCCGCTGTGGGAGCACACTGACCACAAGGGGACAGTTCTTGTGTTGAGCGTTTGCCCCCTGGTGATCAGTGCACATCATAGCAACAAGTTGACTGGTCACTTAGGCATATATATATCACACCACACTATGAAGTAGGGTAATGGATATCTAACATCCAAACTTTTCTGTGCACACAAGGCCAGATTTCCTTGTTGGAAACCTGTTCAACTACCTATGCAAAAGGTTTTGCTTTTGGGTTTTCACACTTGTGTGTGAGCTAAGGCTCAGTACACTATCTTCCTAGAAGGTACTATTCAAAGTCTCCCTTTGAGTTGTGCAGGAAAGACTTCAGTCCCAGTTCTTGACATTTCTAGCATCAATAGGCAGGTAGTAAAATTCTGTGACTGTCTCTACATGCTTGCCTGTCCAAAGGCTGATAATAACTCAATTTTATTGGCTTTCTAGAGTTACCATATCCATCTACTACCACCACATATTCTTACAAGTTCTGGTTTCACTAAAAAATTATCCCATAGGAATGCATGATAGCATCCTAAAGTTTGCATTAGATTGAGTTCCGAATTCATTCCCTCCCCTCTTCCCTCACCATCACAGACATTATTCTGCTGCAAATTTAGAAGACATATTACTGCTGACTTAATTTACTTACTTTTATTTTCTTAAAAGATCCACTTCAACAGGTCTTGTGAAAAATTACTATTTCAAAGTATATTTGAAGGTAACTGATAGGGATACCACCCAAGAAGACAATTTGTATAAAGCAAATGTCTTTGGACTTTTTATTTAGAATGCACATTTTTACTTTATAACTGTAGCCAACTTGATTGTGTAGGCTACTGAAAAGGCAAAATTGTGTATAATCTAAAACTTTGGAGAAAAAGCCATTGATATCTGTTTGGGAATATATTATATATTTTTTTCTGGGAGCAGCAGGTATTTCTATCACCTCCTGTGTGGTCTATGCAAATTATGACTTTGCTTAGGCTAATACTGGAATTAACTTGCACATTGATCATCTATCTATCTATATAAAAGGCTAATATGTAAAGTGTCCATTTGGGAGTTTGACCAGGAGACTGGGAGTTTGGTTGCTTGCTATGACATGTGCTGACCACCAGGGTGTGGCACTGAATAAAGGAAGGCCCTGAATGGTAGTGGGCAGTTGAAGAAGGGAGACCCTGGCCGTGCCCCAATCAGCCCTGATTACTGTCCAGGCCTAGGGTCCCTACCCATGCACGAATTTTGTGCACCAGGCTTCTAGTGTGTCAAGAACATGTTGGGTAGCCGAAACTGGTTTGGCTCAGTGAATAGAGCATCAGCCTGTGGACTGAAAGGTCCCGAATTCAATTCCAGTCAAGGGCATGTACCTGGGTTGCAGGCACATCCTCAAAAGGAGGTGTGCAAGAGGCAGCTGATCAATGATTCTCTCTCATCGATGTTTCTATCTCTCTAACCCTTTCTCTTCCTCTCAGTAAAAAAAAAAAAATCAATAAACTATACATTTTTTAAAAGAACATGTTGGGTAACTGAGCAAGGAGCCCTAGTCTAAGACTCTTAAGAAGCTCTTTAATATACAAGTTACCTGCAAAGTCTTGAGCCCTCTCTTTGTGACTGATCTATCAGACTTCCCACATAAAATGAGAACTTTCTCACTTTGACAGGCTGCATACCAACTCTAAAGATGCCATCACTTGTGAAATTCTCAATATCTCTTTGCAGTTTTCTTCTAAAATATGCCCTCTTTTCCCCAGTCATGGTGGAATCTGGGCTTCTGTATCAACCTATCCATTGCAGATTTGGGGGCAATTTGGGAGGCTTGATAGGCAGAGAAGAATCTTTTGGGTCAGCCATGAGAATGCATGGCTTCAGCCATGGTCTTTATCCTGATTGCTTCTAAATTCTTTCCCTGGCCCACACCTTTCTCCCCCCCTCCCCCCCCACAAATCTAATGTCATGTAGAGCTGCCTATTTATCTTCCCCTTAATATCTAATAGGAACTTCACCCGAACTTATCTTGCTCACTCCATTCCAAATTCACTTGTATATTCTCTATATCAGTGGCTGGTACAACTCCCATGCAGTCCCCAAACTAAGAACTTAGGCATTGTTCTTGCTTTCTCTTCTCCACAGTCCTTCCTCAACTTTTCCAGTCTTTCCTGAATTTACCCTCAGATTGTCACTTCTGTTCACCTACCTCTCTGTATCCTCTTTTCTACTGAGATAAAATTTCTATCACCTCCTGTGTGGTCTATGCAAATATTTTCCTAATTGGCTTTCTTGCATGGAATCTTGCTCCTTTCTCCCATTCAACCTTCACAGAAGAAACACAGAAAAGTGTTGTTCTAATACATACATTTAAAGTTACTCCTTTGCTTAATGGCCACCATTGCCCTTAAGACAAAGTTAAAATCTTGCCTCTTTTGCAAAAGCCCAGTAAAAATGTGACATCTGCTAACTTTCTAGCTTTATGTCATGTCTCCTTTTTTTTTTTTTTTTTTTGTCTCTCAACTTCAGTCATGCTCTATTCTCAACCTCAGGGCATTCCAGGCTCTGAGCCTTTATTAGGACCCTCCCGCTGCCTAGAGTACTGTTTCACTTTCCTCTTTATCTGGTTACATCCTCCTCATTATTCATGTCTGGATCAAAATGCCATCGACCCAGGACAATTCCTCTGACACTCCAGACTTTTCTGTTTTATGCTCTTCTAGCTCCCTGTTTTATGCTTTTCTAGCTCCCTGGGCTTCTCCTTTTAGCTCTCTTCTAGCTATGAAAGCACAGTGGCATAGAAAATGTATTTATCTTTTTCCCCCTACTATGGAATGCTTCATGAATCTGTGTCATTCTTGTGCAGCACTCATGCTAATCATCAATATTGTTTCAGTTTTAGTATATATGCTGCCAAAGCAAGCAGAAGACATGAATATTTTTGTTTCATGTTGAAGTCATTATCACAGCGGTTAGAACAAAACAGGAGCTCAATAAATGTTTTCTGGGTGGCTGATTAAGCAGTAGCCTCATAACTGTCTCCCTGTCCTCTAAGTTCTTCCCCTTCCAACCTATTCTTGCAACTGCCATTAGAGTGATCAACTAATCCTAAAATCTGAGGCCCTGCTCCATTCAAGTCACTTTTAAGTGAAGAAAATAAATTCTCTTCCTCACATACAGAATGAAGTCCAAATGCTTTCCTATATGACATCAAGATCTTCTGTGATCTGTTCCCTAAACTATCTGAACAATTTGACTTGTGCCTTAGTTTCTGCTTAGAAGAATAGTCTACATTCCAGTCAAATGGAATTGTACACTGTTACCTACCCATGCTGCATGCTTTCTAGCTTCCATACCTTTGCTTTTGGTAATCCATCAATATGCAAAGCCCGTTCTGTGTTCCTGCCTAACTCCCATATTGCCTTGTCTTCTCTGAAGCTTTTGTAGTTGCCCCTCCAAGATGGAAATGGCCACTGTTTTTCCTGACATACCCTACATTTTTATCTTATTTTGACTGATCCCATTATGTACAAACATAGCTCATTTTTTTCCTAGACTGCAAACTACAGGAGAAAAAAAAACTATTTCTTTTTTGAAATATATATTTTATTGATTTTTTTATAGAGAGGAAGAGAGAGGGATAGTTAGAAACATCAATGAGAGAGAATCATCGATCGGCTGTCTCTTGCACACTCCTCACGGGGGATGTACCTGCAACCAAGGTACATGCTCTTGATCGGAATCGAACCCGGGACCTTTCAGTCCACAGGCCGATGCTCTATCCACTGAGCCAAACTGGTTTCGGCAAAACATAGCTATTTCTTTATGGCTTAAAGGACTCAGGCAACACTGGAGGAGTGGGGTTTATTTGCAGACCTACCACTTGTTCATAACGTTGTACTCAAAGTGTGGAACAAGGATGAACTGCTTATATATCATGTAGGGACTTATTAGTAATAAATAATCTCAGGCCTATAGATTTACCAAATCAGAATCTGCCTTTTAATGAGATCCCCAGGTGATTTGT